TCTAATTCCTGAAGAGCCCGATTCATTTACACTTCCTTGATCGGCGTGGTCGAGCCTGGCAGCATACTGACAACATATGACAACATATGACAACATATGACAACATACTGACACCCTTTGTTGTGCCGTTGGGAAGGCGTTTGGGCCGACGTTTTGTCTTTCAGGACAACAGCGCCCGTGCTTACCGTGTGCAGGAATCATCAATGCTCAACCGAGCATCACAACAGCCATAGAATTATGGCCAGCAATGAGCCCAGGGTACCGTTGTCCAAAATAACCTTAGCGCTACGACTGTTGTAAATCTATGTTAAGGTATGGGAGTTACGATCACCTTAGCGCTACGACTGTTGTAAATCTATGTTAAGATATGGGTTTTACGATCACCTTAGCGCTAAGATCGCTTTGGACAACGAACACCAGATCTTTCCCCTGCTGAACACGTCTGAGACATACCAGGGAGACATGTTCGTCAACGTCATAGGCCTCCGACCACGTTGGCTGAACTTGGGCAGGCGCTGCAAGAAGAGTTGGACAGACAAACCCAAATTGCCAATAGGAAACTGTTACCAGTTAGCCAGGCGAGTGAATGAATGTTTGACAAATCTTGGCGGTAAAACGCACTACTGATCCAAAACGTCCATCTTGAAACTTCCCGTCTTACCCCTATGGCCCTCAAAGATCGTCGGCGGTCATAACATCTATCTACTGTCATACTTCTCTACCAGTTGTAATGTGTTCCCAATCGTTCATCATGATCATAAAACTATTACTGGAAAATACTATATTTTACAATTTTGGAAATTTTAACTTACAATGTATTTCCGAGTATCCTTTCTTTTTAAAGAGTATGACATGTATCATTATGAAATGAGGTTTGGGGGAGCAACTTGATCCAACTGAACATTTTTTACTGATAAAACGTTCTCGATGTAAACACTGACTTTTCATGAGTCCATGTAATACAGGGAGATAGAATATTACGTTGAACCGTTTTCACTCGCCTACAGCAGCGAGCGATTTTTATCTCCCCAAATTAGCTTACTGATTGTGTCGATAATGCATTGCGACTTAGCAACTGTAGAATGTGTCCTTTCTGTGTGCTTTATCTCCATGGAGATATGACATCAGGCTTTCCTGGTAATAATTTAGCCAGATGGCGACGATTGATTAACACTACACTGTAAAGAATTGCTGCTATTAGCTGGAACTTTTGATAGGCAATCTCAGGTGAAATTACACCTGTTAGTAATAGGCTCCGCAATCGACCAACGTCGGTCGAAGATGACTTCCGTGTTGTATTTCATCAGTCGGACATCAACATGGACAGAGGCTATCAGTGCGTCTAGACTTGTCGATGTTGTAAGGGTCAAGCGAGACACAAGAAGCGCGCTGACCGGTAACGATTTTTGTCCACTACATTGAGCGTCGATGTTGGATCAGGTTATCACAAGTTTTAAGACGTGTCTCGTCAACACGAGGGCCTTTGTACGACCAAGAGTGTTTGGGTTTGGCCGGTAAAACTCCTACATGTAAAATACATAATATCAAAGTTGTACAGGAAGGGTTCTTGACTTAACCTCTGTTTGTTTGTTGTTCAACACCGCAATCGAGACTGGGACAGACAATCCAGTGATTGCCATCATGAGCATCGATCTTAGCAAATGGGATCGATGACATGCATCGTACAAGTCAGCGAGCCTGACCACCCGATCCCGTTAGTCGCCTCTTACGATGTGCATGGGATTTTGAAGACCTGTTCTAACGCGGATATTCACGGGTCTTTGACTTTATTTATGCCGCCATTTTTCTGACAGGTTTTCTTTCGCGAAACAAACACGTTTTTCATATACGTGTACATTGAACACATCAAACAAACACGTCAGACTGCTTGTAGGAGTGAGTGAGTGAGTAAGTGAGTGAATGGGTGAGTGAGTATGATTTTATGCCGCTTTTAGCAATATTCCAGCAATATCACGACGTGGGAATCTACACACGGGATTTCGGCGAGACGAGCGAGCGCCATAACCACTAGGCTACCCCACCGCCCCATTGATTGCGGGAGTGAGTGAGTGAGTGAGTTGGGTTTAACGCCGCTTTTAACAGTATTCCAGTTATATCACGGCATGTCAGCTTAATGTGGGAGGAAAGCCCCAAGTGATGCAGGTCTCAGACGTTTAGCACTTCGGTGAAACCCACGAGCACGGGTATGGTGCTGACAAACCTAGAAACATAATCGGGGCGAACCGGGATTCGAACCCACAATCATAGGTTTCCGGCGTGTCCAAGGGACGCAACTCTGCACAGCGAATCGCGGCGCCTTAGACGACTGGGCCACCCTTGCCCCCGATTGCGGGAGGGAAGCCCGAAGTGATGCAGGTGTTAGACGTTTACCTCTTTCCTGAAACCCACGAGCACGGGTTTGTTGTTTAGAACCTAGAAACATAATCTAGGCGTGTTTGGGATTCAAACCCACTACCATAGGCTTATACACGTCAAGGGGAGACAACTCTGCACAGAGCAATGTGGACATGGCGATACAATGATACAATGTATCTATAGTTGGTGAATAGCATTATCCATATGACAGCTGTTTCTGATTAGGTTGTGCTACTTACATAAGCAGTGACACTGTTAGATAGTGTACCGTTGGTTTGGAACAAATAGTTACCGTTACTCTACACCTTACGGTCGACCGGTTGGAAGAAGATCCGGTCGTTTAAACCGTGTTGTGTTTAATTTAAACTGAAGTTCAAAATATATCTGACTTGTAAAGTCACCTGATGAGATGTTCATCTATTATCATCTATTTGTTTCATAAAAGACGCGACTAACGGGATCGGGTGATCAAGCTCGCTGACTTGGTTGATGCACGTCATCGATTCCAACTGCGTGGATCGAAGCTCATGATATCCATCACTGGATCGTTTGGTCCAGACTCGATTATTTACAGACCGCCGTCATATAGCTGGAATGGTGCGGCGTTAAACAACCAACCAAACCAAGACATACGAGACTCTATTAAGACACGGAGAATGTATGTTTGGTCAGAAAATATGTATCTGCTTCCGTTGGGTTTGAAAACAATTATCATCTATTTGTTTCATAAGGGACGCTATTAAGAAACGGAGAATGTATGTCTGGTCAGAAAATATTTACCTGCTTCTGTTTTTATGAAAACAAGTCGTTTCTTCGTGGAGATGCAAACTAAGGGGACATCTGTTGACACAATGACTGACTGATAATGTAAGCGTCACGGACATACAGTGTATGCACATTTATCGTCCACGTGAGCGTGCTGTTCTCATAACGTTAATGCTTTCCTTGAAATAGTTCTTCATCAGCGTCCTCCCAACAACAGAATTATTCCTCAGCGTGTCTGCACAATTTAGGAACTCACGCAGAGGTAGAAACGTATATTTTCTGTCCACTCGTCCTTATGATGATAACATTTAGCAAAACTCTTAAAAAATGGCAAATTAGGACTACAGGACTGGTGCCAATTTCTCACGCTGCCGCGCAACTTTGCTATTCTGGAAGGGTTGTGTATAGGCGTTTAATTAGGTCATGAAAAATAAATAATGCATCTCACAAGAAGTTAATTATTTAAAGAGAGAACAAGATACCAGGATTTCAGCAAAAAAACCTCGTCAGCATCAATGACATCGTTCAACAAGGAACGAAAAGCCTTCAGATAAAATCTTGACATTCTTGTCTTTCATAGACCAAATATACTTTTTATGTTCAAGACCAAGTATTATCACTAGTCCTGGCCTTACCGTTCTTGTAAGGAAGCCATGTTATACATCCCTGTAGTATACACATATAATAACAGTCCGATGGCACTGTAGCTCGCCTGTCATGTACTCCTAGAAGCGAAACACATAACCAGTTTTTGCTTTGGGAAGTAACACGCATTTACTGCACATCGAAGTGAGTGAGTATGGTTTTACGCCGCTTTTAGCATATATCCAATAATATCACGGCAGGGGACAACAGAAACATTACACCCATGTCGGGAATCGATCCCGAGTCTTAGGCGTGACGAGCGAACCCTTTAACCACTACGCTACCCCACCTACCGCCAGTGACAATACTTAACGGGATGTAAAAGTACATTTGCGCGAACAGAGGCCGAAGACAATCCGAGTCTTAGTTTTCTCTCAACTGTTCCTTTCTACCCGGATAAAGTTGTGTCATGTGTGCCCTATCTTTCTTACAGTCACATTCCAGTCGTCACCACTCGCCCCTTTCCGTAACCCGCTATTCGGCTTGTCCCGGAATAACACGAGTTGGTCCCGAATGTTACAGTCAAATACTGACAGTCGGAGTTTGTAGTGGCCAGGTCCCTGTCAATGCTCACGAACCCCATGTTATATTTGCAACATCATGAACGGCGAATTTGAACGCTGATCAGGAAATCTTCAACAAACTGGAAATTGCATACAGTAGTTATGATTGAAACACATATTCAGCTTTCTGGGAAGGCGTTGTTTAAATATAAGGCTTCTCTTTTCATGAATTATTTTTGACTGAAAGAAGATCCGTCAGTAATTATTATCAGGCACGATGATGACGCTTTTTTCAAAGATGTGAACCGAGATTACTTCCATCGTCTTAATTTTTGATATCGAGTTTTCTGATTTAATGTTGACTTTGTTTAGCGTAGTTAATTATGATAGCGGAAATACAACTATCTTTTCCACTTCACTGAGCATCAGTTTAAACAAGTACATATGATAATAACAAGTCATTAAAACACTGACGAGAAATAACATCATTGGTATCCGGTCAGTTTTTAACGGAAGTGCTCAACTCAGCGCTAATATGCCGTGCTCTTGCTGTTTGATTGGATTAAGGTTTAATCAAATATATCTCTGATAAACCTCATGGAAGTAATTTTCTTTCTCAAAAATTCAATTGGGTTTTATGGGAGGTCGCATTATTTTTATAGACGTGTTTATTTGGAGATTTTCAGTATATGTTGTCTCTGTTTGTTTCAGATTCTTGCTATGATATTCTCCATCACCGGCATCGTGCTCTTCGCCTACGTCGATGGCTTCGGCAGCCAGGCCATGTGGGGGGTCGTTGTAGCGGTAGCTGCATCAGCCGGCATCGCCACTTACAAGGTGAGTGAGTGAGTGAGTGAGTGAGTGAGAGATCCTCCACACTGATACGGGCCTATAAGTGACTCGTTACTGCTGCCCTTACAACGGCTTCAACAAGTACAGATCACTGCATCTCCATCCTCTCAAACATCGTGATACTACTTTCTCACAAGCTGTTTCCTGATTGATAAGCATTTCGCAAGTAATGACTTTCATATACACACATCGTATGATTGCGTTGATACTGTGCCGCACTGGCGTGAACTCTCTAACGTTTACACTGACAATCCACTGTAGAAGCACTGATACCTGATATGCTTCATGTTAGTGAGGACCGCCTCCGTGGTCTAGTGGTAGAGCATCCGCCCGGAGAGCGAAAGGTCCGGGGCTCGTTCCCCAGCCACGCCATACCAAAAGACGTCAAAAGATGGTACTTATTGTTACCCTGTCTGGCGCTCGGCATTAAGTGGCTAAAACAATGACTGGTCGGCTCGGAGTCAGTATAAGTGGGGTATTCATGTTCAACTGCGGCATGGTATCTCAGTGAGCTGGCACTATAAATCGGCATCACAGGTCTGGTACAAGCGTGCATGCACGTCGCTATATAAGTGCAATAATCTTAGACGGGACGTTAAACCCAATATGACCTCACCTCACGTGAGTGAGGTGGTTTAAGCATATTTCGGTTAAATCTTTGTCAGTTTAAAGTAGGAAAAGTCACGTTTCTGCCTTGGTGAACTCTACGAGTACAGGAAATGTTCTTATACACCAGAGACTCGTTCCACAAAGTGATAATAGCGCAAAGACGATTGTAACTTCCTTTGTCTTGCGATAGTCACAACGCTAAGATCGGTTTGAGGGACGGGGCCCAGGGATCATGATGGGAAAACAGGCATTGAAACCCACGTCAGGTTGATTCTGATAGCTGTATAAACGCAGCATGTACTTCACCATTGGCCGAGGCTACGGGTACTGGGTGCTTGGTGTTCACGTGTACTCCGCGATGCCTGTTAGTACTTAAGGTTGTAAGGAGGCATTGACCAGTATTGTTGAAAATTGTTAATATGAACAACTATGCAACTGACATGTTGCACATCTTCATTGTCAGTGAGTGCATCATGTCAAAGAATAGTACATTCACGAACTGTGTGAAGATCAATGCTGACTTAAAGTCAAGAACTTATGGTACAAGTCAAAATTGGGAATTTCTTCCGACATAATTTTCATCATTGATGCGTCAAGCACGGGAGAACACGCCCCAGAAGGCGCCGGAATTCGCTTTGCAAAACTACTGTGCTAAACCTCTATGACAGCGCGTTCGACGTTATATTTCTAGGGTTGTCAGCACCATACCCGTGCTCGTGGGTTTCAGCAAAGTGGTAAAATGTCAGAGACCTGGATCATTGCTCCTACATCAAGCAGAGACGCCGAACTGAACCACTGTTAAAACTCACTCACCATTGCGATGATGTAACCTTGAACCTTTGTCTTGCAGGTCCTTCTGAAGAAACTAGTTGGGGCTGCGACCTTAGGACAAATCTCTTTATTTTTAACATTAATAGGTAAGTGATATATATATAAAGGGTATTATTCAAAGAATATTTAATGAACAAAAAAGAAAGAAATGGGAAATAGATCGTGTATATCTTCACTTATTGGCCTAAAATCGCCCGGTTCATTGTCCGTATATAAGATGTTCGAGTTGAAACTTTCAAGTGGATACGAATCCTCTGAACCGCCGGACGAAATATGTATTGGATGCCGGTGATGAAAATACAGTTGGTTAGTATGGAGATAAACTATGCATCGTGTTGCTATTACTTTGTAAGTAGGGCGCTAGATGGCTACATTCCGTGACTCGTAGGATTACAAGAGTCGTCAGCGTAGTATTATCTCCCTGGTGACCTCCAGCCCCTGGCTATACGCCCTGAAAGTACTCACATATACCTGTAAAAAACGTGGAAATATGAGCACCCTGGTTTTAAAATAATCTGCATCAGAACCCATGTATTCATGGCTACAGCATTTGCTGTTGTAAAGCCTTGGGTAAACAATGGCGAATTGCCACCCACTCTTTGTCTGAACCACAGTGGCGGATTTTCTGCGTAGACTTTGCTATCTTCACAGAAGTGTGGCTCTGTGTGCACAATAACAAAGCATGTGTCACATATTAATTATTTCTTCCTCTATTAAATCCTCTATAGCTATGACAACCTCCTGTGCTGGGATCGGTTGTGTTTGTTCTTGGTAATTGTCTTCGATCTACCGTAGAATATCTCTCGCTTGAAGCAGGATAGCCATTTATCAATTTTAACATGTATTTTCCTGAATGTTTGAAAGATCGAGTGTTTTAACTTTCGATGTTTGTTATGTGGATTTAGCTGATTCGCAAAGCAGATATATTTTCTTTTTTGTTGTCTTTGTTAGAATGACACTGGGTAACAAGGACACCTTCCTCTAAGCTCAGAACAGCGGATTGTTTGTCCCTCGTGAATCAATGTTACTTTTCACACACTCGGTGAAGGTCATCCATACTTTGCGTGTTGCTCGTTCGTTATTCTATAATTATATATTATTACTTCTCTCAAGCCCAACATAAGTCCGTCAATGTAAAATGTATTAAGGCAATTACATTTCATCTCACGATCTGCATGAACGTGTCCACTCGGGCAGTAATATCTATGGACTTTTATAACAAAATATTTCGTTTCCAAGGAACAATAAACACTGCCTGTCTGTGGCCGATAGTCCTCGCCCTGTACTACACTGGGGTAGAGGTCATCGACTGGAACCAGTTGCCATGGCAATTCATCTGCCCAACTGCTGCTTTGACTGTAGGTAAGTACTTTGACAGGAACCAGTTGTCGTGGCAATTCATCTGTCCAACTGATGCTTTGACTGTAGGTAAGTACTTTGACAGGAACCAGTTGTCGTGGCAATTCATCTGACAATAGGTAAGTTCTTTGACAGGAACCAGTTGCCATGGAATTTCAATGTCCAACTGCTGCTTTGACTGTAGGTAAGTACTTTGACAGGAACCAGTTGCCATGGAAATTCAATGTCCATCTGCTGCTTTGACTATAGGTAAGTACTTTGACAGGAACCAGTTGCCATGGAAATTCAATATCCAACTGATGCTTTGGCTGTAGGTAAGTACTTTGACAGGAACCAGTTGTCATGGCAATTCATCTGCCCAACTGCTGCTTTGACTATAGGTAAGTTCTTTGACTGGAACACGTTGCCATGGAATTTCAATGTCCAACTGCTGCTTTGACTGTAGGTAAGTACTTTGACAGGAACCAGTTGTCATGGCAATTCATCTGCCCAACTGCTGCTTTGACTATAGGTAAGTTCTTTGACAGGAACCAGTTGCCATGGAAATTCAATGTCCAACTGCTGCTTTGACTATAGGTAAGTTCTTTGACTGGAACCAGTTGCCATGGAATTTCAATGTCCAACTGCTGCTTTGACTGTAGGTAAGTACTTTGACAGGAACCAGTTGCCATGGAAATTCAATGTCCATCTGCTGCTTTGACTATAGGTAAGTACTTTGACAGGAACCAGTTGCCATGAAAATTCAATATCCAACTGATGCTTTGGCTGTAGGTAAGTACTTTGACAGGAACCAGTTGTCATGGCAATTCATCTGCCCAACTGCTGCTTTGACTATAGGCAAGTTCTTTGACTGGAACCAGTTGCCATGGAATTTCAATGTCCAACTGCTGCTTTGACTGTAGGTAAGTACTTTGACAGGAACCAGTTGTCATGGCAAATCATCTGCCCAACTGCTGCTTTGACTATAGGTAAGTTCTTTGACAGGAACCAGTTGCCATGGAAATTCAATGTCCAACTGCTGCTTTGACTATAGGTAAGTTCTTTGACTGGAACCAGTTGCCATGGAATTTCAATGTCCAACTGCTGCTTTGACTATAGGTGAGTTCTTTGACTGGAACCAGTTGCCATGGAATTTCAATGTCCAACTGCTGCTTTGACTATAGGTAAGTTCTTTGACTGGAACCAGTTGCCATGGCGATTCATCTGTCCAACTGCTGCTTTGACTGTGGGTAAGTACTTTGACAGGAACTAGTTGCCATGGCGATTCATCTGTCCAACTGCTGCTTTGACTATAGGTAAGTTCTTTGACTGGAACACGTTGCCATAGCGATACATCTGTCCAACTGCTGTTATAGCTGTAGGTTTACTGGAATCGGTTGCCGTGACGATACATCTGTTAATCTGCATCTGACTGCATAAGTCCTTTGATGCCACCAGTCATGAAGTATACATTGTTTTGACAGAAATGTAATATTTCAGGTCTCTACAATTACACTGAGGGTTTGATATTTATCATAATTACTTTCAAGGACAGAATATTCTCAATAGATTGACGACTTTAACACTAGTGGACATGTTAACGATTACAATTATGTTCCAGTAATGCGACATATATATGGGGTTCTATTCCTACATCAGCATTGGAAGCATCAGTCTCAGCAATGTTGGACACGAATAGCTATTTACAACTTTAAAACTGACTAACACATTGTTGGAAGACATTGCACAGTATTATTTAAAGCGCCTCACGACGACAAAAGCAGCAGAATTTTAATATTAAATAGGGAAATCCGGTCGTGAAGGAGGAGACGATGTAAGTTCGCTTAGAAGGGTAATCTACTCATGTACGGTGTATGATAGTCATGAATCGTGACTGTGAATTGTATATTTTTTTGGTATGTTATTTTACTAAAAGCCTAGGCAAGTCTAGATCAAACTAACCAAGTCTAGTTGAAAACAGCAGAAGAGGAAAGGTTCTTTCTAAAAAGAATATATATATATTATTTTAAAAACATGTTGTCATTGACAAAGTGTTAGCCTAGGTGTATGACATCTGGGTAGAGTATTATACCACAAGAGTTATGTCTGAAGGAAGACAATGCCTCTGTTTCAGTGTACCAAATACTGATCAACTATGTCGCTGTGCTGACTTATCCACTCTTTACCGGCCTGGGCCTGGCCGTGGCTATTCCCCTCTGTGCAGGTAAGGCGAAAACACAACCAACACGTCATATGTTCCTTGTCCCAGCCCGTCCCGTGTGCGTGCGTGCGTGCGTGCTTGCGTGCGTGAGGCGTGCGGGGGTGCGGGCGTGCGTGCACTGTAACATGCTGGAGAAAACATTTCGCGTTTGGTATTGTTGTAATTTGTTGTGAATCAAATGTTTTATGTCAATGTTTACTATGCTTACAAAAGGTGTACGCACCACCTGTAGTCTGTTCTGATATGCCCGTCTTGAAATTGATCAAACATTCACGCTGGTCCCATCTTTTCAGACAAACAATGATATATGTTGGCGTTGTTTCCAGTCGCTGACTCTGTGTGGAAGGGTCGGGAGTTCTCGGGGATGAAGATCGCTGCCCTCGTGCTAATCTGCATCGGTCTGCTGCTTATCCTGCTTCCGGAGAACTGGCATGAGGTCATCCTCAAACCCTTCCGAGTGAAACAGCAGAGGAGGGACACGGAACAGCCAGTCGGGGAGACACTACGGAGTCGGCTACACAGGACCACATGTATGTGATAGCCAGGGGAGGGACACACAACAGCTAATTGAGGACATGGGACAGACAGTCGGGGACAACATCGTCCATGGAGCGGACCAAACGGCGGTTGTTGTCGTTGTTAATGTCGCTGCTGGATAGGGGTTCGAGGCAGTAGGTAACTTCAATGAACAGTGGGTCATTACTAGAAGAGTGCGAGTTTAGTTCGAAGTGAAGTATACGAAGAAGGGTAGTGGAATGAGTTGTGACCAAGGTGATGATGGGAGGATGAGGCCAAGTGCCGCTGAAACCCTCATAGGCTACAGTCACAAATGACCGGATCTAGGGGCATCACGATGCCTGGTGCCTTTTTGCAGTCTGTATTTAACATTGTAGATTCTGCCCTGTTTGGACCTCAGACAATGAGGTAACCAGTTAGTGCTAGTTTCAACTACTTCTCAAAACTGGCAGACGAAGAATTTGATCGTCGACTGTATGGCTGAATCCGAGGTGTTGTGTAGCGAGGCCTATTGTCCTAAGTTGAAGCCTATTGTCCTAAGATGAAGCCTATTGTCCTAAGATGAAGCCTATTGTCCTATGGCGAAGTATACGGCCCTACGGTGAAGCAAGGAGTTTGAGCGGGAGGAATTGTGAGCTTATATCTTGGAAGGGTCATTCATTGAAGAACATCAGTATTATGCTTCTCCACGAGTTTGATCATACCATCAGTTCGACGTAACTGATGCACGCCGATGGTTGTAGAATGGACATTCGTTTCAAATATGATTACTGTCATCCTTCTGCCAGCTTCTTGACAATCAACTGCTTGCTAATATGGCTTCAACTCAGGAGTGGGAGGAGAATAAATTGACAGTTACAGAGTCAGTTCAAAGCCGAGAGTCGTCTCGTTGATGGGAGAGACTGGTTGGCCGTGCATCGTGCTACAAACAAGATGCATGATGCTGCCACGAACTGACATCTACATGGTATTGCTCGGTCCTGTTATTATTGTATGACAAAGCGTCTAGACCCGTGGAGACAAACAGGAACAGAGATTGTGGTCGTCACAGACAGCTATGATGTAAGGGTTGTTTTTGGTTACATCATAAGGACCAAGAGTCCCAGAGTAACCATAGAAACATTCTCAGGACTGCTGGGAGATTGTAGTGTGCTTAGTGACTTTAGCTTTACAATTGGACAATTGTTCGTGATTGGTTTTGCACGTACTCAAACGCTACCGTAATTTCAAATTACTGGGGTCTCAAAATTAGAAGTTTGCAATTCCTAACTGCAAAAGTTTCTCTTTGGATGGGCGCGGTCGGGTAGCCTAGTTGTTAAATCGTTCGCTCGTCACGCCGAAGACCCGGGTTCGATTCCCGACATGGGTACAATGTGTGAAGCCCCCGCCGTGATATTGCTGGAATATTGCTAAAATCGGCGTAAAACCATACTCACTCACTCACTCACTTCTCTTTGGATCAAATCGATTATTGTCCACGACGTTCTTTCGACACTCTGTACATATCATTGCTTCTGGTCGTGAGCTGCATCTCCTCATCACGACCTAGCTTTACTGTTCAAATATACAGGGAAATGTGTCACAAAAGGATGATTGTAAGTTGTGTTACAAAATGTATTTTGAATGATTGTATACTGAATACATTACGATTTTACCTCAGATGAAGACCTTTAGACCTCTCAAACGACAACGTTGAGGGCAGTTTATTTTAGTTTGATGGCATAGTCAATGCAAGGGAGGTAACTCTCTCATTATTGAAGCTTTCATCACTGCGGAGCTTTTAATATTTCTAAACGTGTATTGTTTTAAAATTGTTTTGAACTATTAAAGAATCATTTTCTAGACAATGTCCAGTGTCATGGTCAGTGACGTATGTGGCCGTTTTGAGGGAATAATTTCACAAATGGACGCCTTGTAAACGATGTGAACAATGCTAGTGTCAATTTTTGATGACAACATCGGTGTAGGTTAAGAAATAGGTCACTCAGACATAAGACATGGTAGATATCACTGATAACAAGTGCCCTGTGTCATCTGTGTAATTATGTTTATTTCGTATGCATAAACTAACTCGCAATCGCATGTCCGATCATAAGAACTTGAATAGCAATCTTTGTAAATATCAACAATTCGTGTCATTATTCCATGTGCCAAACTTGACCTTGTTATCATGAGTGAGAACGTTGTGTGTACATATTACATGTTGGAAGTTGTAGACTGTAAATCATGCCTGTGTTTGTGAGCGTTTGTTTATGGATAAACATCATTTATGTAAACTGGAACGTTGTTGTATTTACGACTGATTGGTGTTTGGGTTTAGGTTTGGTTAGGCTGGGGTAGGAGAGGGTGGGGTTGGGGGTTGGGGGTTGGGGTGGGGTTGGTGGTGGTGGTGGTGGGGGGGGGGGGGGGGGGGGGGGGGGGGTCTAGTTAACAAATCTCTTACAATAACCTAAACGGAAGGCGGCTCCGGGTTCATTCTATTTATCCTGACCCGTGAAGATCCGGGGTAGAATAGGTCTTCAGCAACCCATGCTTGCCGTAAAAGGCGACTAACGGGATCGGGAATTCAGGCTCGTGTACTAATTGTATGATGTCAATCACTTGATTGTCTGGTCCAGACTTGATTATTTACATATTTACATATAGCTGGAATAGTGCGGCGTTAAACAACAAACAAACAAATATATATGATATGCAGTAACACTGCTACATGAAGCGAGAGAGCCACTTCTCTAATCACCCTGTCACCAAGTTCAATAGGTTACCGCAACAATGTTTGACACTAGTATATTAAACGGGACGAGAGCCGGCCCAGCTGATGTCTTCTCGGGCATCGAATGTTTTGCTGCATCACAAACTGAATCGTGGTTTCTAGGTAACACTGCTGTGGTTCAAATGTGGTTTAGGAGCCCTGTGTTTGTACATTCCTCTTCGGATTTATAGAGAGTGAGTGAGTTTGTTTAACACCGCTTTGAACAGTACATCAGTTACACGACGGCCTGTCATCTTGATGTGGGGAGACAGCTCAATCATGTGCAGGTCTCAGACGTACCCATGGAGACGGGTATGGTGCTGACAAACCCAGAAACAAAATCAGGGCAAATGCTAGATTCGAACCCACGTCCAAAGGTTTCCGGCACGCGCAAGGGATGCGCTTTAGAAGACTGGGCCACCCGTGACCCCGTTTCGCAATTATAACCATGTACTTTGAATGTTAAAGGACAAGTTCTGACCTAAAGTGTCGAAGATCTATATAATGAGTTGATGGAATCGAAACCTACCACTACACAGTCTACCATGAGTCAGGCATGCCTCCGTGTCTACTATCATTTCTCCTATAACTAACTAACTAACTAACTAACTAACTAACTACTTTCGTGTAAGGGGGCACGGGTGGCCCAGTTGTCTAAGGCGCCGCGATTCGCTGTGCAGAGTTGCGTCCCTTTGGCACGCCAGAAACCCTGATTGTGGGTTCGAATGCCGGTTCGCCCCAATTATGTTTCTAGGTTTGTCAGCACCATACCCGTGCTCGTTGGTTTCACCGAAGTGCTAAACGTCTGAGACCTGCATCATTTCGGGCTTTCCTCCCACATTAAGCTGACACGCTGCGATATAACTGTAATACTGTTAAAAGCGGCGCTAAAACCCAACTCACTCACTCACTCTCTCACTTTCGTGTAAAGTCATGGACAGATTGGAGATGGCGAAATTTTAAAAAATCTGTCCAGTAAACCTGCAAGTAGTCAGAGATACCATTGGCATAACGCATGTATCCACGATGGAAAAGCCCAATTGGGCTTCCAGGTTAGAGAAGGTTACAAGTAATCTATCTATGCTAATCGTTAGAGGCGACCAAATGGATCGGGTGGTCAGGCTCGGTTGATTGCGTGTCACCGTACCCCAGCGAAGATCATACGTTGCTAATCATATCAACCACTTGTTTGTCTAGCCCAGACTTGATTATTTACACGCCGCCTTGATATAGATGTAATATTACTGAAATTATTAATAAACAATAAATAGATAGACAGGTAGACTACGATCCCCATACTAAGTCAATCAAAGAAAGTTTGGACAGGAATGGCCCTTGCAAATGCAACAGCCGGGATCATTTCGAAAGTCATACTTTCCTCAGCATCTATAATATCCCCCAGACTCCGTAGTAGGATATAACGCCCACCATCACACTCGCCACAGTCCAACTGTACACAATCTCATTAAAATAAAGATCTTTGTTTAGCGGAAGCGAGAACTAAGATCTGATTTTAATGAGATTGAACTGTACATGTTTGCCAATAAATAACTTGAAATTCACTAGTTACCGACTGTGCACAATACTGAGTCGGAGAGAACGCTGTGCTTTAGCGAAGATCTCACGCAATAATTTCAGATCGGATCATCGTGTTTGATCTTCTATTGTGTACAACGAGGAAGACCAGTCATGACCCTCGTATATACTCAATGTTACTTGGTTTGTTGTCAATGAGATAAGAACTGAGTTTCTGTCGGGTGACCGCAATTCCCCTACATACCTCATTCGCTCGAGACATCAGTACTACGTACCCAGCTGACACAGGGGAGGGGGGTCAGATGTAGGTAGGTATACACTCTCCTACCCACAGTACCCGGATCACGTGGAATGTGCGTTAAAGCCTGCATCTGGGGATGTTAATCACCACTTCGTTGGGTGTTACTAACACACTCTTGTCGGGTGATGGCGGTGTTAAAACACATGACAAAGGTGGTGCCATTTTGCAAATCTCACATGTCTGTGAAATCACATAATTGCCGTCACGGCTATGAGTTGATGTTGTCAGAGGTCTGGTCACACTGGGAGGAAACACCGCCACACATACACAGCGAACCTCCATTAGGGAACCTATAACAGAGAGCCCAAACTTGGATTTATAATGAGATGAGGTGGACGCTGTTTGTGAACAATTATGACGTTAATGTCCTGAGGGCATTTATTCTGTTGGCCATATAAGGTAAACAGCAAAACAACCCCAGACCCAGAGAAACGACAATTTAAATAGAGAATATAAATTTGCGTGACATTCAATGATGACACCATATGTTCGGGGAATGCATGAATAGGTCTTCCTTAGATTACCCGCAGCTTCCTATACGTTCACAAAGGTCGAGGTCATTCATCAGTCATTTTAAGAATGATGCAGCCAGAAATATATGGTTACATCTAATGTTAAACCGTCATAGTTCTTTTGATGTATAAATGTATCAGACCACCTGTGCCCTGTTGCACAAAGCTATCTTAGCGCTAAGATGATCGTATACTTTAACATATGCTTGCAATAGCCATAGCATTAAGATCGCTTTGTGCAACAGGGCCCTGATAATTATTTTACGCCAAGACAAGTCACTGGTCCTTTAATCAATTTAGTGTGTTGTGATAACACGCGCCCATCACACCCAGTATCCCAGTATGGAGGACAGTTGTGACACTGTGGCCGACAAGGGCGATACATCAAGGCATATAATCGAGGGAGACGATGTCGGTGCTCAGAAATTATCGTGGCGGAGTGTGGTTGCTGCAGTATTCATCCTCACCGTTGAGATGTGTGAGCGGTTGACGTACTACAGCGTCACGGCCAATCAGATGCTCTTCTCCACCAGCATCCTGCAGCTCTCGGCTCCACTGGCTGTCAAAATACACCAGGTGTTTGCTGGTAGGTGCTCACTCTTTACACTGCCGTTACGACAATACGTCGACTACAACATCGTTGTTAATGAAAATACGATACGTTTACTACAGCACCTTTGTTAACGACAATAGAACACGTCGACTACAACAGCGTTGTTAACGACAATACAGCACGTCGACTTCAACATCGTTGTTAATAAAAATACGATACGTATACTACAACACAACGCAACGTATACTACAGCGCTTTTGTTAACGACAATAGAGCACGTCGACAACAACAGCGTTGTTAACGACAATACAGCACGTCGACTAAAACGCCATTGGTAATGACAATACAGCAGGGTCGACTTAAAACAACGTGAACAAATACACCGTGACGAATACTGAACACATCACATACTCGTCGAACAGCATCGTAACTAGATCACAATACAGGACACACAACAACGTTATGACTACACGACACAGCACACACAACGACGATACGACTACACGACACAGCACACAAAACTACCACTACACGACACAGCACACACAACGACGATACGACTACACGACACAGCACACACAACTACCACTACACGACACAGCACACACAAAGACGATACGACTACACGACAGCACACACAACGACGTTACGACTACACGACACAGCACACACAAAGACGATACGACTACACGACACAGCACACACAAAGACGATACGACTACACGACACAGTACACACAACGACGTTACGACTACACGACACAGCACACACAACTACGACTACACGACACAGCACACACAAAGACGATTGACTACACGTCACAGTACACACAACGACGTTACGACTACACGACACAGCACACACAACTACGACTACACGACACAGCACACACAAAGACGATACGACTACACGACACAGTACACACAACGACGTTACGACTACACGACACAGCACACACAACTACGACTACACGACACAGCACACACAAAGACGATTGACTACACGACACAGTACACACAACGACGTTACGACTACACGACACAACACACACAACTACGACTACACGACACAGCACACACAAAGACGATACGACTACACGACACAGCACACACAGCTACGACTACACGACACAGCATACACAGCTACGACTACACGTCACAGTACACACAACGACGATACGACTAAACGACACAGCTCACACAACTACGACTACACGACACAGCACACACAACGACGATACGACTAAACGACACAGCTCAAACAACTACGACTACACGACACAGCATACACAACGACGATACGACTAAACGACACAGCTCACACAACTACGACTACACGACACAGCACACTCAGCTACGACTACACGACACAGCACACACAGCTACGACTACACGTCACAGTACACACAACGACGATACGACTACAACTCCCACCACACACAACAACGACTACACGACACAGCACACACAACAACGTTTCAACAGGACACAGCAACGTTACGACTACACGACACAGCACACACACAACAACGTTACAACTACACGACAAAGCACACACAACTACGACCACACGTCACAGCACACACAACGACGATACTACACGACACAACAATGTTACGACTGCACGACACAGCACACACAACGTTACAACTACATGACACAACACACACAACAACGTTACGACTCCATAGCACACACGCAACAACGTTACGACTACATGACACAGCACACGCAACAACGTCATGACTACACGACACAGCACACACAACAACGTTACGACTACACAGTACACACAAAAACATCCTGTTCCTGTTAATTTTAGGATGCACCATTCTCTAACGTTTAGTTACGTGTCCATTCTGTGAGAAGAAAACCCTCAATAAGATTTAACGTTTCTAGAGTGTGACCACTGTTTTAAGTGTGGAAGCAGGAATAACGATGTCAGTTTAAACGTCATGAACACAGTGTTTTAAAGAATATTTATAATATTGATGTCTCAATCTCACGTACTTCCCAGCCGTGGTCACGTGATGGTCACGTGTGTATTATATATCAACGGTGGGGACAACCAATGGCAATATTATCTGTGCAGGAACAAGCCTGATTTTGCCTTTATTCGGAGGCTACATCGCTGATTGTATGTCGGGTCGCTACAACGCCATCCTGGGCTCGGGATTCATCTATGTTGTGGGTAGGTCTGCACTCACGTCAACTCGTCTGTATAGTTTGTTTGTTTGTTGTTTAACGCCGCACTCAGCAATATTCCAGCTATATGACGGCGGTCTGTAAACAATCGTGTCTGGACCAGACAATCCAGTGATTGACTTGATGCGCATTGATCCACGTAACTGGGATACGATGACATGCATCAACCAAGTCAGCCAGCCTGACAACCCGATCCCGTTGGTCGCCTCTTACGACAAGCATAATCGCCTTTTACCGCAAGCATTGGTTGCTGAAGACCTATTCTTACCTGAATCTTCACGGGTCCGTCTGTACAGTAGGTAGATCTGCACTCACGTCACCTCGTCTGTACTGTAGGCAAGTATGGAAATATCTCAAATACTGTTCAACTCGTCTGTATCATAGGTAAGTATGGAAATATCTCAAATACTGTTCAACTCGTCTGTATCATAGGTAAATATGGAAATATCTCAAATACTGTTCAACTCGTCTGTATCATAGGTAAATATGGAAATATCTCAAATACTGTTCAACTCGTCTGTATCATAGGTAAGTATGGAAATATCTCAAATACTGTTCAACTCGTCTGTATAGTAGGCAAGTGTAGATATCTTCACATTCTTCCTGTACAGGTCTCGTGCTAATTCCCGCCTCCGCGATGGATTATCGCCCTTTGTTTTGTACAGATGAGGATGGATCTCAGTTTGACCTTGACCTGGTAAGGCGTGCAACATTATTGAGAGGTGGAACCTCATTAGCAAAGCACGCATACAACACTACGTAATCAGTTCAATGATCGATTAGTTATATGACGACTCTTGAGAATATTCTAAAAGAATTATGCTAATCGCCACAAGCTTATTTGCATATGCTCAAATATCTCTGAACAAAGATCTGAGGACATCCCATTACGGGTCGCGCCAGAACGACCTTTCATCCAACCAATCAAAGCGTGGCTCACCAGATCATGAAAGTGACAGTCGGAATGTATTTTCTTATCATGCAACCTCGAAAACGTTAACATGGGGTATTCCGAACGATAGTAACGGCTCGTACGACTGATTCCGTCAAAATTATCGTCTATCTCTCGGTTCCGTGGGATAAACATTTGAACGGAGGAGGCGTTGCGCAGTACGTGGGAAGCACTGCCATACACTCTCAACCATATATGAGACATTCCGGAATGATCGTTTGTTCAGTTTTCAAAATATTAATCGAGAACTGTGTCAATATGTTTTTCAAGCGTAGACAGAAATGGAATTCGATAGGTTGAAACGTGCGCCGTAAAGCTTGAGAAATCTGCTTTCTAATTTGCTGATGTCGACTTGGCTGATGTCATTTCAGTGGTCGGTCAAAGTTCGCGAAAGGTCGTCCTGACGTGACCCGTAATGGGATGTCCTCAGATGTTTGTTTAGCGGCAGCGCGAACATAGATCTGATTTTAATGAGATTGACATATGCTTATCTATAAGGGCATATAGAATACAGATTTCTCAAACAAAACTTGAATTGGGATCTACATGATCATGCATAAGAACTGAGGAACAGTTGTCTTCATCCAACGAACTCACTAGTAGAACCAAGATACTGAAGCTCACCTATCCTTAAAAACAAAACCTTCACATGCCTGCCCTTAGGGTTATGATTATAAATATTGAATATTTTCTATACATACTGCCAAAGTGTGAATACCCTGTGGTGTAATATGATAGAATCTGATAGAATGTATTCACACAATATGTACTTAAATATCTGAAACCATTCTGTTTTAAAGACAACTCGCCGCGTGTACTACTACATTGCCCTGGTGTGTATTGCCGTAGGGACTGGGGGGATCAAGGCCACAGTGGGGCCTTTCGGGGCGCAGCAGGTGGAGGAGTACGGCAAGGGTGCAGTGCGCTCGTTCTTTAACTGGTGAGCAGTGTGTAGGGACAGGTTTGGCCATTACCGATAGTTCCTCGTGCCAGAAACATTAATCTTATAGTGCTAAACACACTTACTAAACAGTATCGACACTGCTGCCTGACCTGAACTCGGACAGGTATGTGTTTAAATGGCGGTATGCTCGGGAGAATTGGCAATAATTCTAATACTCGTATTTGGTTAGCTAACTCGAATGTTGTGTATCAATATTACAATTAATCGTTGTCCTAATTACTCACTTTCACATAAGGTAAACATATATGCAACATGGCTCGGGCGTATCATTCCCTGGACTCATTGCCTGCCATAGCCTCGTTTTGATTCGAATAACACAACGCTAAAAATAGCTGTCCAGTCAAATTACACCCGTGTGCGGGATACATTCTGTGCGGAGCTTCTGATGAGAGTAAGTGAGTGTGTTTGGTTTAACGCCGCTTTGAACATTTTTCTGTAACATTAGTCGTTTCATCTTAATGTTGGAGGGAAGACCGACGTAATGCTTACTATAACACCCTGGATAGCTAGTCTACGTTCTGGCGTTTCGTGTTAACTTCAGGTTTTACTGGTTCATAAACGTGGGCAGCACCATCGCCTTCACAGCCGTTGCCTACGTCCAACAGGACATCAGCTTCACGTGGGGCTACGTCATACCTCTGATTTCCATGGTTACAAGCCTCTTCTTCCTTGTGGTAACACGTGGTTTCTACAGACACATTCCGCCTGGGGGTAAGAACATCGACACTGCCGGCTGCAATATTGTGGAACCCCAGTACTTCCCGAGTAAAATCGTCTTGATCCACAAATTCAATGAATCCTAGTGCTGAGTAGTGATACTTTTAAATGTAGCCCCTACTACGGTTTTGATAGTGCTGTCTGAACTACCTGGTTATCGATACTGCTGTATGAACTACCTGGGTATCGATACTACTGACTGAACTACCTGGGTATCACAAGGTAGACACAACTTGCTTGACAACGGTATAAGGATCTATACCGAAACGTCGCTTTTTACAGTATTAAAGAAGTTGTTATCCATAAAATTGTGTCTACCTTGTCATCCGTCATCTTCAAAGTTATACCTATCAAACAATTTACCTGAGAATCGATACTGCAGACTGAACTTCCTGGGTATCGATACTGCTGTCTGAACTACCTGGGTATCGATACTACTGACTGCAATACCTGAGTATCGATATTGCAGACTGAACTACCTGGGTATCGATATTGCGGTCTGAACTACCTGGGTATCGATAGTGCTGTCTGAACTACCTGGATATCGATAGTGCTGTCTGAACTACCTGGGTATGGATTTTGCTGTCTGAACTACCTGGGTATCGATAGTGCTGTCTGAACTACCTGGGTATCGATATTGCAGACTGAACTACCTGGGTATCGATATTGCTGTCTGAACTACCTGGGTATCGATAGTGCTGTCTGAACTACCTGGGTATCGATATTGCTGTCTGAACTACCTGGGTATCGATATTGCTGTCTGAACTACCTGAGTATCGATATTGCAGACTGAACTATCTGGGTATCGATATTGCTGTCTGAACTACCTGGGTATCGATACTGCTGTCTGAACTACCTGGGTATCGATACTGCTGTATGAACTACCTGGGTATCGATATTGCAGACTGAACTACCCTGGTATCGATACTGCTGTCTGAACTACCTGGGTATCGATAGTGCTTTCTGAACTACCTGGGTATCGATAATGCTGTATGAACTACCTGGGTATCGATAGTGCTTTCTGAACTACCTGAGTATCGATACTGCTGTATGAACTACCTGGGAATCGATACTGCTGTCTGAACTACCTGGGTGTCAATACTGCTGTCTGAACTACCTGGGTATCGATACTGCTGTCTGAACTACCTGGGTATCGATACTGCTGTCTGAACTACCTGGGTATCGATACTGCTGTCTGAACTACCTGGGTATCGATATTGCTGTCTGAACTACCTGGGTATCGATAGTGCTTTCTGAACTACCTGGGTATCGATACTGCTGTCTGAACTACCTGGGTATCGATATTGCTGTCTGAACTACCTGAGTATCGATATTGCAGACTGAACTATCTGGGTATCGATATTGCTGTCTGAACTACCTGGGTATCGATACTGCTGTATGAACTACCTGGGTATCGATACTGCTGTCTGAACTACCTGGGTATCGATACTGCTGTATGAACTACCTGGGTATCGATATTGCAGACTGAACTACCCTGGTATCGATAGTGCTGTCTGAACTACCTGGGTATCGATACTGCTGTATGAACTACCTGGGTATCGATACTGCTGTCTGAACTACCTGGGTATCGATATTGCTTTCTGAACTACCTGAGTATCGATATTGCAGACTGAACTACCTGGGTATCGATATTGCTGTCTGAACTACCTGAGTATCGATACTGCTGTCTGAACTACCGGGTTATCGATACTGCTGTATGAACTACCTGGGTATCGATATTGCTGTCTGAACTACCTGGGTAACGATACTGCTGTATGAACTACCTGGGTATCGATAGTGCTTCCTGAACTACCTGGGTATCGATACTGCTGTCTGAACTACTTGGGTATCGATACTGCTGTCTGAACTACCTGGGTATCGATACTGCTGCATGAACTACCTGGGTATCGATATTGCTGTCTGAACTACCGGGTTATCGATACTGCTGTTTGAACTACCTGGGTATCGATACTGCTGTCTGAACTACCTGGGTATCGATACTGCTGTCTGAACTACCTGGGTATCGATAGTGCTGACTGATATACCTGGGTATCGACACTGCTGATTTAACTCAATGTTAGTGCAGTTATATGTATTAAAGCAGCATATCTATGAGTTTCAGAGAGCTCCGTGAAACTTGCTTTGGGTGTGGTTCACGAAGCGGTCAGGCGGAGAGGAGATGGACAGCCTTTCTTCCAGTCCCCCCGGAAACGCTACGGTGGTAGCTATGACGACGAAACTGTGTCAGGGGTCATTGCATTTGGCAAAGTGCTCCTTCTTCTCCTCCCACTCGCGGGCTTTGGCGCCTGCTACTTTCAGGTATCCTCTGAACAACCCCAGTGTTCATGTTACTTACGAAGAACAGATACTGAACAGATGTTCATACATTGTTATACAATATTTACTCATTCACAACCGTGCTGTATGACAATTAAGACATTATTTCAGTATACACACTACTCAAATGCTAAAATGTATTTTATAATTACGACTACAAGACGCCATCCAGATATGCCTCAACGCGACGTCAGAGGTTGAGCTTAATGTTTTAACTTGAGGTGTTTAGTTTGCGAAGGTTTCTTGTATTTTACTGATGACGGGACCAAAACAGAGAAAGAAACATGTTGACACCTATAGTGCCGCATTCCTGTTGTGGATGCAATGTTAAAATGTTGTTTAAAATGGAACAAAACATCATAAGCCTAACATAATCTTGTGTAATGTTCAGTTGTATGAAGAAACACTGGACAGTTATTTTGTTTTTGTTACACTGGAAGTACTTCATTGAAGTACTTGGGATGTTTTGTTGCTATCTGACCCTAGTGTATCACGTATCCTTTTCTCGAACACCTGGTGTCATCATGTTTAAGATTCTAGAAAGATCTCTACATACGTAAAGTGTCCAACAGCGGCATCCTGATTATTCATCAACATCTTGTACCACAGGCCCAGTCCATAACATACCTCCAGTCTCTGAGGATGGACGTGACACTCGGCAACTTCGCCATACCTGTGGCAGCTATAGGGATATTCAACACTATCGCCGTCCTCATCCTCATCCCCTTCGTCGACCGCGTCCTCTACCCCTGCATGGAGCGGATTGGTCGGCCCTTCACACTTCTCAAGAGGATTGGTAGGACATCTTTTTTTAGAACTGCGGTACCGTGGACCTGTCGTTGCAAATTTATATTTCAAATCCACAGTCGTGCGCTCATTCTGTGCCACAATTCGCTGTGCAGAGATGAGCCACTTAGCCGACCCAGACATGCAGTGATCCTGGGTCTGAAACAAAGATTCGCCTTGAAAATGTTTCCATACCAATGTTAGTGGTAAACGTCTAAGACCTACTTCACCTGAGGCGTTCCCCCTACATTGTGCTGACACGCCGTCATATAGAGTACTGTTGATATCAGCGTTACCCCATACTCACTCCTATTGCAGGTGTCGGGATGATCATTGCGATGATCGGTGTTGTAGTCAGCGGTGTGGTTGAAATCTTCCGGAAGCGAGAGATAGCGACCTCTGGTGGTATGATTCAGACACTAGGGGGACAGGATTTCAGGTCGTCCCACTATTCAGTGTTTCTTCAAATTCCTCAGATTGTCATCGGTGGAATGAGTGAGGTCTTCACATTTGTACCGGGTAATTAATTAAAATAGCTACATAAAATCATTGAAATGATACGAAACGTCCACGCCAGAGAATAACCAGTCTTCGAAATAGATTCCATTGTACGTAAAAGGCAAAATAGTGGTGAAAATCATATGAATGGATCACTGAAAATTAGTTATGACACCAGGTGTTCGAGAAAAGGGTACGTGATACACTCGGGTCAGATAGCAACAAAACATCCCATATACTTCAATGAAGTACTTCCAATGCAACAAAAGTAAACTAACTGTCCTGTATTTCTTCATACAACTGAACATTACACAAGATTAATGAAACTTAAAAATTTTGGGGTATGATGTTTTGTTCCATTTTACAGAAATAGTGCTTGACGTTAAAATAAATCACCTTCACGGAATGTTAATATACTTTGCAGCGTTTGAGTTCGGCTTCACCCAGGTGCCCTCGTCTATGCAGGGGATGATGCAAGGTGCAGTTCTGGCTCTGTCCGGGTTGGGTAATTACATCGGAACAGGTGTACTCGCTGCTGTTAGTGCTGCTACACACAATGGTAATTACATAATTGATCAAACTGAAGAAATATCTCTCTTTTATCTGATGAACTAGACACTCTCATTGTTTCAGATCCCTGGTTAGCTGATGAACTGTTTCAGACCCCTGATTATCAGATCAACTAGACACTGTCAGTGTTTCAGACCCCTGGTTATCTGATGAATTAGACAATGTCAGTGTTTCAGACCCTTGGTTATCTGATGAATTAGACACTGTCAGTGTTTCAGACCGCTGGTTATCTGATGAATTAGACACTGTCAGTGTTACAGACCCCTGATTATCAAATCAACTAGACACTATCAGTGTCTCAGACCTCTGGTTATCTGATGAACTGTTTTAGACCCCTGGTTATCTGATGAACTAGACACTGTCAGTGTTTCAGACCCCTGGTTATCTGATGAACTAGACACTGTCAGTGTTTCAGACCCCTGGTTATCTGATGAAGTAGACACTGTCAGTGTTTCAAACCCCTGGCTAATTGGTAAACTGTTTCAGACCCCTGAATGTCTGAAGAAGTAGACACTGTTACTGTTTCAGACCCCTGGTTATCTGATGATCTGAACACATGTCACGCAGAGTACCTGCTTTTCCTCATGGGTGGGATCCTAATCATCGTCACCGTCATCTTCACCGTTGCATCGTTGTTATACAGATCTACACCTACACAAGACGATGACGTCAAAGAAGGAACGGCCCACTAGCAGGAAGTGGTGCTACTAATGAGGCATATAATAGTGTGCAGTGAGTTGTGTCCCACGACTCCTGAGGTGGGGGATTGGTTGCATATTTAGCTTGACGGGGAACTACTTAATGATCTCCCCGGACACCGGCAACTACATAACAATCTGCCCTGATAGCAGGAGCTACTTAATAATCTGGAGTTTTTTCACAATCTTAGTATCTTCATAGTCTGTTATATAGCTTCACTTAACAACTCATATGAGGAAATCGGCACGTAAAAAGAAACGAAAAGTGAATAAGTTTGAAGACATTTGACGCTGTGAATATGGTTGTATAGTTCAAATCAACAGATTGCTTCATTTCTGTTTAGGGCCTGTTTAACTGAACACTGCTGAGAAAGAAAGCTGTCTTCATACATGTAAATAAAAATAATAATAATTATGCAACCATTTGTTTCAACTCATGCTAAACAAACCACACCATTCGAGGTTGGGCTCAACTGATGTTTATGTGTACAGAGATTCCCCGAACACAGCTAACCATGTCATTCCTGCCACAGACATTCTCTGGGGCAGGTTCCTTCCTAAATTGTTTGATAGGCATTACTTAGAAGTTGACGAATGACAAGGTAGACACAATTTTATGGATAACAACTTCTATAATACTGTAAAAAGCAACGTTTCGGTATAGATCCTTGCTTGACAACGGTTTAAGGATCTATACCGAAACGTCGCTTTTAACAGTACTAAAGAAGTTATCCATAAAATTGTGTCTACCACGTTCCTTCTTGTCTTGATATCTTCCAAACATTGTGCTGCTGAGGCGATCTTCAAAACATGGTCCTGCTGAGATGTACTTTTCTAAAAAATTCCAGAAAACAACACACTTTCATCTTTCATTTGTTTTATTCATAAATAATATTTGAGCATCATGTAATATTTACAGTTAAAACTTGGCAATGTACAGTAAAATGAGATGGCGACAATGGCAACACAACAACTAACAGCTACCTCTTTGACAAAATGGCTATCAGGGCAGTATATGACTGTTGCTTTATTAATAGTATGTCAATATGACTACAGTGAAACTGGACATTCTCGTCTCATGATGGATGTTGTCTACAAAACAATTCCTACCATAGGCTGTGACACTGATTAGGAAAATTAGTTTCAATGGTACAGATAAGAAGGATTATGAGTGAATGGCAAAGACAGTGCTAGAATAAGACCAAGTACAGAATGAAAACGGGATGGATATAGTAATCTGTTCATATGCAGTTGTCATCTTGATAGGCTCGGGAGTTATTTTTGATTTTGAATCAAGTGTCACCATGGTCACTCACAGACAAATTTAGAAAGAAAAGTAAGTATTGTCAAAACTTGAGATTTTTGCAAGAACCCATATAGTCTAAATTTGTAGGCATTTTAACATTGTATTTAAAAAAATTATAATATTAAAGTATTTCTTTCTCCAGTGATCAGGAAAAGGAAAGGAACCTTTGCAAACTTACAATATAAGTTCTAGTTATATCCAACTAAATTAAAAAGTTTAATCACAATTTTGGAACCGCTGCAGACTCATAGCCACAATATCAGGCTGTGAGATCCCCAGATACATCCCCAAGAGTTTGTTATAATTTTTTTATAATGCAATTCGAAAAGAACTCATTAAAAAAAGACTTTATGTGATTAACATTACATTATGCCAATCATACATTATTCATTAACCTCAAAATCATTATGAAACATTTTTTTACTTTAAGCTCTTGAACACATTATCTTACACTCTGCTGTTTGATGACTGTTTATCTGTAGAGGTGTGTTGACCATAATGTAGCTGCTAACAGGTAAGGTAAAACAGACAACACCCCAGAAATGACATCAATGTAATATTCACAATGACCTATGGTTCGGCAACTCTCCTTAATCGCTGGCGTAGGTGTCAACATGTTAAAAAGAAATGAAAAAAGTGACATGATCATGCTGATAAACTGGAAAACATAACAAGTCTAAAATCCATGACAATGTCTTTCCAGCTGTTACCACCCAGCATGACACCTCCCGCATACATTTGTTCTGCAATATGATAATTTCATTAATACTACAATACACATCTTTATTGCACTGCTCATGTTCTCATATCAAAGAGTATGTTCAGTTCCTGTGTTTAGAAGTATCAAATCCCTGTCCCATCCTTTGTCACTTGTTAAAACAGCTTATTTCAGTGGACTATTCAATAAATATGACACAAATTGCTATACATGCGACAGGGACCATCTCAAAACGTTTTGTGCTATTTCTCAAAGGTCATTTTGCAAATGACACATCTTAGAGATTAGGCTAAGCTAACAACTCAGATCAGAACAATTCCACTGAACACCAAAGCAGTTGTCCACAGTTGGAAAGTAGTCACAAAATGTTTTGAGATTTCCCCTAATGTATTCTATACAACAATGTTAAGTAGGATGCTCATATTTACATGTGACCTTTGGCGATAATGCATATTTGTCAGAAGCAACAAAGCATCTGATTCGATGACGAACATTCATTCTCTCTGACTTTCTCACAATCTCGGTCTCTCGATATATTGCATTGGCTGGGGCATGACTAGCATGATATGACAAAAAACACAGTAAAGCGTTACCAGTAATCCTGCAATTTGGCCATCTTTGATCTATTCATTTAGCCAACTTACACATTTCAAATACTAAAGAAGACCAGATTGGCAAATGCATAATAGAGTCAAAGTCATAGGTTTAGGTTTAGGAAAACTGAAAGTTGACTTAAAGCATATTTGACTGAAAGTGAAAGCAGGGAGGTCACTCAATTCCAAACAGATTGGAAGCTTATTGGACAGAAAGTTAAAGTTTAAAGCAAATTTTGAAAAGATACCAGTAAGCATGCTAAATATAGCTGAATTTCTAAAAACTCAAAAATATTTTCAAAACCAGACTGAACAATCATAAAAAAACACCTTCTTGATTATTGCATATAGCGATTTTTCGATGTAGATTCTTACACTGGAGCTGGTACTTGATATCAGTATAAGAATCATCATTGAAACTTGGCTATATGCAATAAACCAGAAGTTGTTATCCATAAGATTGTATGCTTTCCTACTTACCAACTTCTAGAATAAGGTTATTGTTCACTGTTTGTTGTTAAAAAGCACAAACAATGCCTTAGTTCCACTGGCTGCTCACCCAGCATCCCAAACATGTGAAGTTACTTCAGTCAATACTGATTCTGTCCCGGAGGTACTGCAATGTACTTCCATTCTGTACACTGAGACAGACAACAGACAAGAGTGTCACAGGAGGAAACTATCCACACACAAAATACTGGAGTCCAATACCACTGACAAGCACTTCCACAATGCCAACCGCAGTGATCAGAAACACATCACACAGTACATGCCTAGCACATGATGAATCTTAACATGAAGGTAGAAAATAGCTGTTGATGTGGATGAAGGATATTAGAAAAAATATATGCCATTTAATCCTACAAGGAGTAAGAGAGACAAGTGAAGAAACTGTGACTCACATTTTCTAGACAGTGGTGACACTTTACACAGGCATAGCAGTGACAGATATACTCTCAGCTGAAGACAACTTCATCCATTAATTTGCAGGAAGGGTAAAATGAGTCCACAAAATATTAATACAAAACCCAATAGGCCTGTGCACTTTCCAAACCTGCTTTCCTTAGAGCATGTCGAGTTGAGACAATGATGTACGTTTAGCATGTCACATCAGTAGTACCGGTACTATGATGGTTTCTCTTAATCCTTACATATCACCAAGATTTTCATAAATGTGTGAAATATGTGTAGCACAATTGACAAAAGAGCCATATCCAAACTAAACAATGTGACATAGTCGACATGGTACATATATACACAGCAGTACACAATAGCCAGGCAGTCCCGGAAGTATGCACACATCATGCTTGTAGTCTGCCACACATACACAGCACATAGTAACCCTGAATGACCTGTGGTTCGACAATGATGGAATCATACGACAAACATGGATGTACACCTCCATGGTTCTTCTACCCTCCGTAGTGCCTCCAGCACATCCTTCACCTGAATATAGACGTCTAAAGTGACCAGTCCTGATCAGATGTCTTATCATAAGGGCCATCTGTGCATCTTTCTTGCAACAGGATACTCATCCACATATTACCTTTTGTCATCCTCACAAACGCATTTACTAACAATGGGTTCTCGTTGCTCAAACATCAATTGCGAAATTGTTAGAAGCCAGTTGACAAATGGAGACTATAGCATTCAATGGAAAGGAATCTCATTCAAATGGTTCCATCAGTCTGAATTCTTGCTGTCTAACATCCGCATCAGAGCAAAAGAGATGGTTGCTTATTCCCTAGCACTGTTCATGATACACAGACATTCTTCTTGGGAACATGCACAATTTGTCCACCATGCTCATAACACGATAGCTACAACACGCTTGTAGCTGGGAGACACTATTTCATTATTTGTTTCAGTGATGCCAATATTGATGATCGTATGATATCTACAGATGAGAAGCTGAATGTGTTTTATTCTACATCCAGAACAGACGAGATGAAGTAGCTCTGGTCACAGAGTTTGACGAAGAAGAGTTTACACAGTTGAACATGGCTATGTCATCAGATTCTCTGAACAATCCACACTTTCCTGGAAGAAAACACAGTATCACTTCATCATAATTTCATCATTCACTTGAGATGTCTGTATATAAAATGACATTATACACTGAGCATGACTCTCCCTCCAAGGAACATCCCACTGTCATGCCTCCGAATCCTCCCCTCCTGATCACTGCATGTTCCTCTGCTGAACAGTATGTTCTTCGACTGAACACTGACTGTACCACTGCTGAACACCCATCCGTGATGTTGAACAACAGTTCTCACAGGGTGGCATCTCAGGGCAACATGAACCAGTTTTATTGTGTCAATTCTGACTCGCTGAAGACTAGTAATGCTTTGTAACCTGGAATCCTCATCTTCTGGTATTTGTAAGATTCGCTGTGACTGGTTGTTGTATCAGAGAATGCCATTGGTGATGTACTGGAAGCCGTCGTAGAGTTTGGTAGTGAGTGAGTGGAGACTGGACTCCACCAGGTTGTCTACTAGCAGCTGCAGCTGTTCCTCGGTCAGGTTCAGGTGGAATCGGTCCTTCAGCGCCCGTACCGTGCTCACCCCCTTGCTGAAACACGGCAGCTGTGACCCTGCAACAAACAACAGTCCTTAATGAATGTGGACCAGTATCATAATAACGATAACAAATAACAACAGACAACAACAATAATAATAATGCTGTAACGACAAACAAAACCAAAATAATAAACAACAACAATCATAATCCACTTATAACATGCTATTCTCCATGCACTAATTATTTTACCATTTCCCTTTGGGAGGTTTGGGGATTCTTTATTTGGGGTGAAATGGGAAAACTTGCAGGTATAAATGGGGAACATCCTTGGTTGTAGCAATCCAAATGGTTATTATTTAAATCAGGATCAGGTTAGCAATTAGTCCATATATTCTATATTCTATGTATTCTCTAGTCATGCAGTATTTCTCTATCTGCTCCCCTACCTGTCTGCATGATCTCCACGATGGGCAGGATCTTGTCCATGTGTTTCCTGGACACACAGAAGCCTTGGAGCAGCAGGATCTTGAAGTACTCGAACATGTCGCTGCCCAGACCACCCATCACCTGCACACAGAAACATGGACACTTTCTAAACTCACAAACTCTGATATAGTCACGACGATAAGCAACATAAGTTGCAATTATCCCTGCATAAAAAAATGAAGAAAAGTAAAGATATGAAAATATATCTAAGTGTCATGTCTAGAAACACCCAAAATGTTTTATCAGCAAAAAATAATAAAGCTTACAAAATGTAGCACTTGCAAAGACCAAGCCAGATTAAATGAGACAATGCTATAATCTGGACCAGCAAGGCTTGTGTTGTGTTGGCTGTACATGTATGACAATGTGTTACCTCAACAAACTCGTGAGTGAGTTTAAACGGTGAGTTCTCAAAGCCCAGATTCTTTCCCGGAGAGCTGGACAGGATGAACCCGAAGTCGATGTGGACAATGTGGCCTTCTGAATCCAGCAGGATATTCCCATTGTGTCTGCAACGCATGGAAGCCAGGGTTATCTCCCTTGTTAGTTTGACATAATTAATGTCACTTAGACTTGATTGAGACATGTAAGGCTAAAAAACATAATAGTCTTGGTTCTCAGGCAACGCCCGCATCATTATAAATTTTGCCACACGTTTCATTTTCATTTCCATTTTGAAAAAAATAAATGCTTTAACATTCCAAGTCCAACGGTAGTCAAATACTGTATTCCAGTATTTTAATCATCAAGGAATATATTTATCTACGGAAGCCCTTTCCCATGTTGATTGTACACATTGTTTATTTCGCTACACAACTGTTTATTTGGTAACATACTAGTATGAACATTGAAAAAAAGACAAAAAAGACAACGCCCGCCTGTACTATATTTTCAAAAACCATTGCCTGAGAACCAATTCTTTTATTTTTTTAAGCCATATCATGATAAATTGAAGTTTTAGGTCTGTGCAGCTGTTTCAATGAATTTTTGAATGGGGAAAAAAACTTTAAACATAATTTCCTATAATGATAACTTGATAACACCATAATCTGCAGTAGCTCACCTGTCTTTCACCTGCATGAGGTAGCACACAAACATTGCAGTAGCTCACCTGTCTTTCACCTGCATGAGGTAGCACACAAACATTGCAGTAGCTCACCTGTCTTTCACCTGCATGAGGTAGCACACAAACATTGCAGTAGCTCACCTGTCTTTCACCTGCATGAGGTAGCACACAAACATTGCAGCAGCTCACCTGTCTTTCACCTACATGAGGTAGCACACAAACATTGCAGTAGCTCACCTGTCTTTCACCTGCATGAGGTAGCACACAGACATTGCAGTAGCTCACCTGTCTTTCACCTGCATGAGGTAGCACACAGACATTGCAGTAGATCACCTGTCTTTCACCTGCATGAGGTAGCACACAGACATTGCAGTAGCTCACCTGTCTTTCACCTGCATGAGGTAGCACACAAACATTGCAGTAGCTCACCTGTCTTTTACCTGCATGAGGTAGCACACAAACATTGCAGTAGCTCACCTGTCTTTTACTTGCATGAGGTAGCACACCAAACAGTAGCCAGCACAACTCTGTACAAAGTTCTTTTGAGCTGTCAAAAATCCTTCTGATGTTGCAGGGCCAAACTCATGAATGAAATAGTCCAACAGAGACTTTTTGCTGTGCTTCTTGATCTGATGGAGGGACACAGCGTTCCGGACAGGCTCAATCATCCCGCTGTCATTGGTTGTCACCACTATCTTGTAGGGCTGGATCCGCAGGGGCACATGCTCCAGTTCCCATATGTTCTGGAAGAAGGACAAACAACAATCTTCAGATGTAACAGGGGCGGTGGGGTAGCCTAGTGGTTAAAGCATTCACTCATCATGCCGATGACCTGGGTTCGATTTCCCATATGGGTACAATGTGTGAAGCCCATTTCTGGTGTCCCCCGCCGTGATGTTGCTGGAATATTGCTAAAAGCAGCTTTAAACTTTACTCACTCACTCAGATGTAATATTTTTGTATCTCCGGGGCGAGTAACATCATTGATGGTTCTCATGGACCAGCACATCAGCAACAACATCCAGAAAACAGACTCATGGACATTAGCCCTATAGCCTAACCAAATTCCCCAAAGTAGAGGTATCCATACATGCTACAGGAATGAAATGCTACATGCTGAAGTTTGTTAAACACACTGTCATGATTAGTATGACAAGTGAATCAAAACAAAGTCTGTTGATTGAATCAGAAAGGTTTGTTTCTGCTACCTGGATCAATTATCGATGGGTGAAAACAAAAAACTGCATTCTCTAATTTGTCCCTCCCACCTTGCGACAGAAATGCCTACTGACCTTTAGCTGTTGTAGAACCTGATAGACCAGGAGCTCTTGGCGCAGGTCGTCGCCACACTTGATGATGACGGACAACAGTCGCCAGTTGTGGAGGTGACCGTACGGGGAGGACTCTCGGATCCTCTCGACCTTCTCCCCCCAGGGTTCCTTCAGGGCTGCCGCTGACGGGTCCTCGGGGTCTCGCTGAAACATGGAATCATTTCAAATGACACAAGTGCAAACAGGATAGTCCTTTACGCTGTTTTTAGCCAAAAATGTTGCACTATCATGGTATATGACACAATACACTGATGTTTCAACCACTAGGCTACCCCACCACCTCTAGCAAAAAGTGTTTATGGAATGATCACTTCATGGCATTGCCCACCTAACTTTAGTTTGGAGGTAATAGATGCTATCAATGACCTGAGGAAGTCTCCCAGGCTTAAAGCATCTGAGCTGTCAGAGGCTTTAAGCAGTATTGTGGAAACATATCAGTAAGCAACACCATCAATTGTTGACCAGTTGGAACGCAATGCCAAGTTTACTAGAAGGCGACCAAACTTGACAAAAGCTCAGCAAACAAGCTAAAAATTATTCTGAATTAATTGCTACACACCTCAAACTTCCCCTTGGGGGCAGAGATATTCTCAGAGAGCCTCCTCCGGATGTCTCCTGCTGCAATGTACACTGGGTCCTTACTGTCTGCACTCGTTGAACTCTCTGTGGACATCTGTGATATTGTGTCACTAGACCGGCACTTCATTGCAAACTGGGGGAGAGAGGACATACCTTGTTATCATTCTCACGAACACTCACAGCTATAAACTTGTATAAACTTCAGTTGTATACTTCAGTCAGATATTTGGTCAGATTATTTTAAATTTCTGGTACATGTACCTGCTAACTCCACCAAAAAAGCCATCAGCACTATTACTGACAGATCAGGAGCATAAATGTTTCTGGTAAACATCGAGTAACAGTCTGTGCTAAACACTTTTGAGTCTACTTGCCTGGACTTGTATTTTGGCAATATTTTCAGTTCATTTACTCTTGGACACTCTAAGCTGATCTCACAAAACCGGAAGAAATTTTACTAGACTGGGGCTTCAGACAAGTGGCTAAAACCGCAGACTCTAATACAGTAACAAATATTCCTCTAACATTGTTATTGAAAAGAAAGTGAACACCCTGCACTTATAAAGCAATTATTTTCCCTGCTGTACTGACCAACAAAATAAAAATGTACAAAAGTTGCGAAGACTTTTCGTAGCATATAACAGACCTGAATGATCTCATCATCTTCTTGTGACCAGCAGTCAGCATCATCAAAGTCTCCGTTCATGGAGTAGACGCTGAAGTCAGGTTTGGGCGAGCCGTTGGTGCGTGTGGCGTAGTGAGACAGGTCCTCCTCGGAGCGGGTGAAGCGCAGCGTGTTTTCCAGCAGCTTGAGGGGCACATGGCTGGACGCGGTGTTCTCACACTCCAGAATCTCCACGTACAGCAGGTACGGAGCCTGGTGCCAAGCAAACATTACATCAGTCAGTTTCAATAGGCCTCATAAAATTAATGTTGTGGTTCTGATTACACTTAATTTTAGCAAACAGGTTTCATTTAGCAAAATATGTTTGGCATGTACTTGCATGTGTGTTATTTGTCATGAATGGTGAGTACCAATGGAAAAAAAGAGAGTTACGGTAGTTACAGTAGGCACCTTAAATTAAGCTTAATCTCATCAAAATCAGATCTAAGTTCTCGCTACCGCTAAACGAAGATATGAAGACCTCCCATTACAGGTCTCGTCAGAACAGCCTTTTGAGAACATTGTCCAACCAATAAAATGACTAACAAATGTCGAAATTAGCCAATCAGAAAGAAGCTTTCTCAAGCTATATGATACACTTTCAGACCAGCGACTTGCATGCCAGACTACGCTTTGAACAATATCATGAAAAAGTTCTCAAATCAAAATTTGAAAACTGAACAAAAGAACATTCTGGAATAGACAGCCAAGGTTGTATAGCAGTATTTCCTACGGGCTATGCAAACTCTCTTCTGTTCAAACGATTATCCAATAGGAGCGAAAGATTTTGATGGAATCAGTTGTTGAGTCTGTAAATGCTGTTCGGAATAAACCGTGTTAACCTTGATTAGAAAACACATTCCGACGGTCACTTTCTCTATCTGGAATGGGACTCTTTGACTGGTCGGTTAAAAGGTCGTTCTGACATAACCCGTATAATAGGATGACGTAACAAAAGCCAAGATCTGACTTTAATGTGATGGAATTAAGGTCAATTGAGTCACTGAAACTACATCATTTCCCTGTGCAGCAGACCTCATTGTCTATCTAGTGGTTGAAATGAACCAGGAGGTAAGTATTTGGGCTGTATGACCGTCTCAAATGTTTACATCAGTCCTTACCTTCTCTTTTGAGTTGAGCACGACAGCTTGTGTGTGCGGAATCCTGACGATATGATGGTTTTCTGCAGCTATAGGCAGCCACACCCGTGCAGGGAGGTTCAGGTTTAACATAGCAAGCTCTGCGATCAGGCGAGACGCTGAAGTAACAAGGGAGACAGTGTAAGCTTGTAGTAACCATGTAATGATATAACAGCTTTTTTGTTCACAAAACAGAACTCATCACACTGAGAAGAGGAGTGAATAATTATTGTTTAACATATTAGCTATCTTGCAGTTATTCACAAGAAGAGGAGTGAATAATTATTGTTCAACATATTAGCTATCTTGCAGTTATTCACAAGAAGAGAGTGAATAATTATTGTTTAACATATTAGCTATCTTGCAGTTATTCACAAGAAGAGGAGTGAATAATTTTTGTTTAACATATTAGCTATCTTGCAGTTATTCACAGCGGCCTTAAAAAAATATTTTTTATGTTCATTCTTCTGATAATGCAGAGATTCACTTACTTCTTAGTTCTTTGGTAGGAAGGATTTGTAGTCTACTGCCGATGTTCATCAGAGCCTGAACAAACTCATTCTGGGGCATAAGTCGTGGGGCCTGGAAAGTGGAAACATGTGAAACATCAGATTATCTCCCTTACATAACACCAGTCAGACCTTTCAGTCCATGTGTTAGCTCTGCTTTAGCCAGACGAGAATCTGTAACATTGCTACAGTTACTCCTAATGACTTCTAATGATTTAACATGAGAAAATATCTCCTAGTAATAGCTCAAAACCTGCAGATGAGAGAGCAGAGTATGGACTTACCTCACACATACACAGCGTCTCCTTCCCTGTCAAGTCGTTGAGGACAGCTTCCGAGCTCTGGTGACAGGTGCACCCGTTGTCGAAGGCTCTGCCAGATGCTAAGTCTCCTGCCACTGACTGCATGTTGGGTGTGCTGTCACTGTGCCGCAGATAGATTCCTGGAACACAAACGTAAGTGTCAACTGTCAGTGGGTAGAGCTTGGTGCTGTCTGTACCACAGCAGGAGACACAAAAAAGGACCTCAAACAGAACTGTCAACTGTCAGTGGGTAGAGCTGGGTGCTGTCTGTACCACACATTCCAGCCATGTCACAGCAGGAGACACAAAAACTGGACCTTAAACATCATACCGAAAAGGGGATTGAAAATAGATCTTCAAAATGACAGGCAAGCACCTTATCTAGGCTACCTAACCTTTCCCTTGATGTCAACAGGCAACACTAGACAACTCAATGGGTACCAATATTCAAGGAGATGTCCTGAACATGTTGAACAATTTTGATTGGGTTTTGAGCCCAAAGCAAACCATTCTACCAGAAAAATGTTATCTTGTTTCATGGAAATAAACAGAGAGACACAAATTCCTTCAATGCTAGATCTTGTCCAAATTGAGCTAGTTACCTGTCGCATCTGACTTTGATCGATGATGTGTTTTCTTCACTGCCGCTAACGAGTTGGGTGTGGCTCCAGGTAGAAGCATCCCGTGGTGGGTGGGGCTCGTGACGGTAGACTGGCTCTTGGAGTGTTGTTTCGGGGGGCGTAATTCCTCATTGAGGATCATATTTTTTAACTTGACACCCTGCGAGTTCTTCCATGAAGGTTTGTGGACATCTGCTGAGTATGCTCCCAGCAACCAGCACGCCATGATGGAGAAGTCGACACTGTTCCGACACCTGCAAAATACCAAATAGACAGATTGAACCATTATATAAAGCAGTTCAAAAGTTCATATATCAAGACAAACGACTTCATTTAATGAGTTCTTATGTCATCACTGTCCCTTTTCTTCAGTAGAAATCATAATTTCACACGAACACTACACAAATCAATAACCAACCAAACATCCCTTATGAATGAGGGCCGGCACAGATCTACATTCAACATCACAACTCATACAAGGGAGCCCTTCATTTAGTCAGTGAGGATATAAATAACGTCAAACCGGTAAATATTTTTTATGGAAATGTTATCATGAGAGTGAACATCGGAGTGATGTTTTTATGCAACCTGCTGTTTCCTGTTATGTTAAAGATTGGGGATATCACAATGTAATTGGACAGCTATTTTACTTTTAGTGCTGTGTCATTTGAACCAGACCCCGTTCCACAAAGCGATCGTAGTGCTACGAGTGTCGTAAGTCTATGTTAAAGTATGGGAGTTACGATCGTCTCAGTGCTACGATCACTTTGTGGAACGGGGACCAGGGTATTTATCAGGATATAATGCAGACATAAAACTGGGCCATGAGAATGGGGCCCTGGTTAAAGCCGTCAACTGACCTGTGCACAAGGTAGGGGTGTATGGCCTCGGCGACGTCATGCATCTGAATGTACATGTTGAGCAGCTGGGGTAAATAGAAGTCAACATCCTCATCCCGGAAACTGAACATTTTGTTACCTGGAAACAGGAATACATTATACATATTGAGATTTGTTGGCACTTAGTAATATTCCAGCAATATGACAGCGGCCTGTAAATAATTAAGTTGAGACCAGACAATCCAGTGATCGATTCTCTTACGACCCGCTGGGGATCTATTCTAACCCGGAATCCCCACAGAGGTTATTCATGTTATGAACACGAGTGAGGAGATCCATGTGGACACACTGAGATTTCCTGGTATAGACTATGCCATGACCTGCCCCACGATCAATGTGTGTCTGTGGTCTCTAGGACAGAATACAGAACCACTATCAAGTGTAACATGTCTGAAGGGAAACAAATACCTATGTGAATGCTTGTTGAGTCTGGATGTGTATAAGATTGTCTGTATAATGATGTCATATCATCATCGTAATCCAACGAAAGTGTAAGCTAGTTAAAATTTATCGTCACATCTGAAATACTTTAGCCATATACATGATATAGCGGCGATCCAGCAATAGAAAGGTGCTTATTTTGAAGTGCACCACCATGACAACTGGGCACTAAAAAGATCTTTACATGTGCCCTTTGGAACAGAAATGTGCCCATCAGAAAATAATTATTGATCCTTCATGGAACTTGATGGTCATTACCCCATGAGCTGGATACTAGATAATAGGTACATGTAGTTGTAATTTAAACTTTAAAGAGTTCCCCCTTTTTTATTGATATTGATAACATCTTATTCATTTTCTGAATTCCATGGTGGACTTCATAAATCATACAGTGTTAGGCTAAAAAAAAATAGTCTTGGTACTCAGGCTTGCCCGCATCATTATAAAGTTAGCCACATGTTTCTTTTTCATTTCCTTTTTGAAAACCCCCCCACCAAAACATCCTATAACATTCCAAGTCCAACGGTAGTCAAATACTGTATTCCAGTATTTTAATCATCAAGGAATACATTTATGTAGGGAGGCCCTTTCCCAGGTTGATTGTACACATTGTTCATTTGATTACACAACTGTTTATTTGGTTACATACCAGTATGAACAACCGAAAAAGTAAAAAAAGACACCGCCCAACCGCACTATATTTTAAAAAACCATTGCCTGAGAAAACATTCTATCATTTTTTTAAGCCTTCAGCATATTCAAACATTATTTTTTTCGAGTTTCCCGAGATTGTGAAAGAACATTTAACATTGTCTTCATATAATACACGTCATAACAAGGTATTTCGAAATTCTGATGGGAGCCCTTCAGGCACCAGGAAGTTATATTAACTGTGTCATTACGATTTTACTGTGACATTGGCATTTTAATACAATGTATTTAGAAACCCAGTCATCAGCATTGTCAGCAGAATCTGAGCCATGTCAAAGTGTCCTTGTGTGGGTGGGCCCCCATCTACTATACCACAGTGACTTTTGTAAAGGCAAATGGCAAAACGACATGTTCATGGTTTTCAACTTTGTTAGGGCTAGGGCTGGCGTGAAAGATCGATTGTCGGAATTATTGTTGATGGGAAGAATATTAATGATTATCGAATTGAAAAATGTGTCATCGATAATATCTTATATGAATTACTGTGATGAAATTAAGGTTGGACAAACCAAAACAGACTTGTTATTGTCAATCATGTCAATTGCCGAAGACAGAAAGCAACTGTTTGTGTTATATCCTTAAATGTCTACAAAGTAATCCATGCAAAATGGTGCCAACACTTTCCAATGGGGTGAAATACGTTGTTTTCTTTCAGACTTTTTTTTCCGTATTTGCTCAAAGTTACTTCTCCGATATTTATTGATAACTGATCAATAATTAGAGAACAATTATTGATCCTTATGATCTGAATTGATAGCCAGCCCTAGTTAAGGCATTTTTCTACATCATTAACATATTTAAAAAACTCTACAGGACATTTTAATTTGTAATCAGCAATCAGTCGCAGACCAAGAAAATGAACTGTCTGAAACCCAGTACCTACAGTGTTGCAAGTAAAGGGTGAAAGACACTAACAGTGAGTGATTGAGATGTGTTCAAGGCCTCTTTGAACAGTGATTCAGACACATCAAGCCAGAACCTGCTGACGTGATGACGGTCGGAGATTTAACCACATTGGGGATGCACACCAGCATGGGTATGGTGCTGACAAACCTGGAATCATCGGCACAAATTTGGGATTCGAACCCACATTCCAAGGTCTCTGTCCCACTAACAACCGAAGGAAAAGACGCAACACTACTCAGCAAATTTAGTCGCATTAGGCAATTGGTAAACCAGTGCCTCTCATAGAACAGATTTAAATATTATAGCAGTCTTATAAGCCACAAATAAAGTCGATGCGTAAGGCCAAGCATGGGCTAGTAACATCATGTTGATATTTGTCACAGACTGCTAGAGCCTATGTCCTTCAGGACACCCTGATCCCCCTAATTACTAGCATTGCCATATTAATGTACAATGATTATGACTAAATATATATATACCTGTATACTATTTAAAAGAAGTTAAAGAAGACCCAATTCTTTCATATTACTGAAGTTAATCTGTGTTCTATAACTTCTCTTGAGCAGTAGATACAAAGCCATTTTACTGTAGTTAATGAGGTGTCTTCACTTCTTTTAGCTCTCTCTCTCTCTCTCTCTCTCTCTCTCTCTATATATATATATATATATATATGTATATATCTCTGTATATATATATAGAGTTTTTGACGTAATAAGCGCCCAGGGCGCTCTCAAAATTAAAAATAGGGGGCTCTTATTAGAATATTATTTTGGTGGAAAAACAGAGTTGAAAGATAAATTTCGTGGTTTATGCTGACGGCCTGACAGCCTGCCAGATATATTTTTCCAGAATTTAATTGCCCATAATTAAGGGTGTATATATCACACGACTGGTAATATATATATATGAATGCCATTTTTACTTGGTATTTGGCCTTATTGATATATATTTCGAACAAGTCAGGATTAAGTTGACAATGCTAACACTTCACAGGCAGCAACCTTTGAACTACATCAATCACTGTCACCATGAATCTCTATATATAATGCCTAACTTGCTGGTAACCTTCCTGGGTCATGGTCGAACCCTGGCGCAGCCAATCCCACTTCCGTTCCCTACAGGGGTCAGAGTAGGGCCCTTAGGCAAAACCTTACACTCTCCACAATAACATAGGTGTCATTACAAGCTAGTCAAAAACATATTGACTATGCTATTTACAGGCAATCCTAACATTGATTTATTACAGGGAAACCTGATAAACCCTTCAAGGTAAACATGGAAAGCAGTTATTGTTATAACATGAAACGGATGATGTCATTTGACACTAAACAAATCTGCCCCAGATACTATACCTTTCTGACGATTTTAATACCACTGTTAGTTCTTGTCATAGTGTCATCTAATCATGCTAATGGAAACAGGTCCACACATCAATCAGCCGGGACTATACTGAATTGTTTGATAGGCCTTACTTAGAAGTTGACAGATGACAAAGCAGACACAATTTATGGATTACAACTTCTTTAATTATTGTAAAGGCAACGTTTCGGTAAAGATCACGAGGTGGAAGCGTGTTAAACAGGATAATTGGCTTCCTGTCTAATTGGCTTCCACCTCATTGGTTTTCTGTCCATCATGATTTTACAGTATTATCCTTCTCAATGGTAGAAACTAACATCTTTTGTCCACTAGTCCTTATAATGATAACATATAGCAAAACCCTTAAAAGGGGCAAATTTCTACTTGTCCTTATGATACCTCACCTATTGGACAGTTTCGCAAGGTCTACAGGACTAGTGCCGATTTCTAACACTGCTTCTGTTGTCATTACTTAACCTACTCATGTTAATCCTCCTCATGTATGCAATTGTTGTTACTGTCAATCCTCCACCTACTATATTCTGTACCATGTTCATCATTCAGCCTTGTCTGACAACAGTATAAGGATCTATACTGTAATGTCACCTTTACAGTCATTAAAAAAAGTTTTTATCCATAAAATTGTGTCTACTTTGTCAGGACCATACTGATACAGATCACCATGCCAGTATGAACACATCATCTGTATTAGAAACTGAAGCAGGTCCCGGTGTCCTTGCAGTTTAGGGTATGGTACTGACAAACCTGAAAGCGGGGATTCGAACCCATACGCATAGATTCTGATGTGCACAGTGAATTGCAGCACCTAAGACAACTGGGCCACCTGTGCCCCCATTGGTATTAGAAGTAAGCATAGTGATATTAACTGTAACAGGGTGAGGTGAGGTGAAATTGGGTTTAACATCGCGTCCAAGATTATTGCACTTATATATAGCGATGTGCATGCACGTGTGTGTGTGTGTGTGTGTGTGTGTGGCTACTTGTACTAGTCCGGACTGATGCCGATTTATAGTGCTAGCACACTGAGATACCATGCCGCAGTTTAACATGAGTATCCCACTCAGACACAGCTTACTGACTCCAAGCCGACCAGTCCTTGCTTTAACCCCTTAATGCCGAGCGCCAGACAGGGTAACAACAAGTACCATCTTTTAACGTCTTTCGGTATGACGCGGCCGGGGATTAAACCCCGGACCTTCCGCTCTCCAGGTGGATGCTCTACCACTAGACCACGGAGGCGGTCAACTGTAACAGGGACTTCTTCTAAAGCACAGCTACTCTACAATGAGGTATAATGTGCATAATGTGAAGCATGAGAACCTACCTAGATACGTCTGAACTCCAGGCTCCTTTGAGTTGAATAGATATGAAATAGCTATGGACATGTCAAAAAGTTTGGATTCGAACAACCGCAACAGCCATGACTGGCGAGGGGCTGGCCTTGACTTTGGTTTGAGTGTTCCAGGTAGAGGTGGTTTGTCTTTGAGATTCTTATCTTTGCTAGATCTACAACTAGTAAATGCATGTCTTAGGTTTAGTGACAGTCGTACTCCTTTCTTAGGATCAAACTTTTTGTCCTCCTCCTCGACCTTAGTCCTCTCGGAATCACTGCCCTGGGTGGAGTCCCCCTGGGCGGAATCCCCTTGGGTGGAGTCCCCTTGCTCAGCTTCCTCCGTGACCCGCGGGAGAGGACCATTGCTCTCCGGAACAGTCTGTGATTCTACCTGGTCATTCTCATCACCCTCAACCACATCTACACTGTTGGTGTGTTCCCCAGAGGAGCAGGGCACGCTCTGATCTGTGAGTCCCGAGGACTCGTCTCCCTCCTCCTCCTCTTCAACCACCTCCTGATGTCCATTACACAGATGTTCTGATGGTGCCTCATCGTCAGGGGAGATAATTCTTGGTAAACCAATCGGAACGAAACCATTCTCCAAATTGAGAGAATCTACATCAGCCATTTTACATTTTTCGATGTAGTTGCCATTCACTTCGAATCTGCCCTTCGGATGAATTGCTGCTTGATGGATTTGAACATCCAGTGCAGAGATCTTATTCTTTATCTTGACTTCGGTCCCCATCCCTTCTCTGGCTGAAGCTGTGTCTAGACTGAGACACACGCCATCCTAGCTGTGGTGTAAAGTCTTTCCTTGAGACTGCCCACATCGATCAGGGGCAGCACTGGGGGGTCTGGTTCAGAACCGCTTGAAGTTTTCACTGCAAAACAAAATAACTCTGTTAGAATAGGAAATCAGCAGTGGGTGAAATTAATGTGGGTTGTTGCTCATGCAGCAATGTACACCTCTTACAAGTATTCCAAAATTCAGTGTCGTGAGTGAATGAAAGACAATAAACTTACAGCAGGGACTTTGCTAGAGTTCCAAGCTGCGTGCCCCTTGCAGGCAGGCAAAAATCTTTATCTTGTTCAAATTTGGGATTTTTTAAAAGTTGTTCAATGTTCTTAATTTCAGATGTATTTTGACATGTTTAACAAAGCATTCAATCCAAAAATGTCAATGGGAGCCTCTTTCTCGTTATTGATTCTTGTATCAGTGAAATACATGTCACTGTTACAAAGACATAACATAGGTCATAACTATTAACTGATAAACTATTAACCTGTATGGGAAAGTCTTAAAATCCATTAAGAATTTAACTGACTTTTGCTGCAGACCTAGGGACGAATATCTGCCTCTGAGAAGGTCAAGATAAATCTATGTAATGTATTCATTTAAAGTGAGTAAGCAAGTGTGTCTTAACAGTGCTTTTAGCACATATTGTACTCATGTGGGGAATTGAACCCAGGCCTTCAGCGTGACGAGCGATCGCTTTAACCACTAGGCTACCCCACCAGTCCGCATTAACTTTTAAATGACATTTTATTCATAAGTCCAAGTTTTGAGCAGGTTGTTCCATTTCATCAGCAGGCCTTGCCCACTGGCATTTAAGAAAGAAAATGCAGGAAAATGTATGAGTGAGTGAGTATGTTTTAATGCTTTATCAACAAAGGCTACCCCACCGCCCCTGGAAGATGTATGAACTACATCAGTGAAAGATACGCAGATGAAGATAACATATCGTCTGAATCAGCTAGGGGCATCATGAACTATGACATCTAGCTGCACCAATAAACCATTAAGTTTTGAAATATTTGTCACACACTTGGGTCCATACTAAAACATTTCCATCCAAATATTATAAATGTTGAATGTAACAACATGCTATCTGTAGTAATCTACACTGATTAGACAGTCCTATCAGTTGATATTGCCATGTACCAATGGACCGCCATCATGTTAAACACCAGAGTATTTGAAATATTATCATGATGATAGACACTCAATCAAAGACAATGCATTCCTGAGAGAACTTACATACTCAGCACTTTTTTTACTCTGGATAATATCCTCAACTGATTGAGAGGCTGTGACATAAACATTGCAGGGACTATTTGCTGACGATAGACTGCAAGAACTTAGAACACAATGGGGAGAATTCTTCACGATTATCTTCTTCAAATAGAGCTCAAGTCAAATATTTGACACTTGCACAGAAAACCCTAAATGTCAATAGACATGGACTTGTGAAAGTCCCCAAATTTGCCAGTCCAAGCAACACAAGCTCTTTTCTGTGTTTTGCCACTTCCTAAAATAATCTGGAATTCATTCAAACGTAAACAATGTATATCATCAAATGTGTCTGTAGCATCAATGTTAATACAAACTCAGACCAAGACACACCATGATGTAACAGCAATGGCCTGATTTCTTTAATAGATGGATGCAGATAACAGTTAAATTTACCTGTAACAGTTACAAATGCAACTATTCTCTTCCCCTAGCAATGAATACTGTGATTTTAACCAGGAAGTGGAAGCTGTTCTGAGCAACAATAAATAAATACTCTCAAACTTTTTTAATCATTTTCATGAATCTTATCATTTTTATCTTATTGATTTCATTTGTTATATTTATTTTGATTTTGTAAAACCCTGTTAAAAAAAGGAAACAAAATTGGTCTACATCAACCAATTTCTATTGTTCCGTAGCATAACTTTGCCTAGTGCAATATGAATCAGAATATTGTAATAAGACTGTTATATTCTGAACTGTCAGTCTTTTCACACAGTCAGTGGGTACAATCTGTTGAATTTTCCACGCTCAGTCACCACAATACAATCCATCTTTGTGGCACACAATCTGTGTGGAAAACTGTCAAATGCTTTTTCATTTTGTTGTCGAAAAGATCAATTATTCTATTTTTGTCACTGGATAAAAAGAGCGTTGAAACACACATATGTTGATTGTGATTCTATAATCTGTAGATGAGGACAATCAATACCACTGACGTCATGAGGACAGGCTTGTATTAACCTCTTGCATGTCCAACAATAAGCTTGCCATACACACCTGGAGAGGTTGTCTTCCTATAATCATGACAATAACTCACAAGGGTTCAGCTGTCCCAACAACCATCTACCTTACGTACCACTCCACCAATGTCTACAGTATATACTGATTACAACCCAGTGAAATTCTTCAGCAACCCATGCTTGTAAGTGGCGACTATGCCTGTCGTATGAGGCGAATACCAGGATTGGGTGGTCAGGCTCGCTGACTTGGTTGAAGTATGCCATTGTATCCCAATTGCATAGATTGATGCTCGTGGTGTCAATCATTGGACTGTCTGGTCAAGACTTGATTATTTACAAATCACTGTCACATAACTGGAATATTGATGAGTGCGGCGTTAAACAACAAACAAACAAAAAGCTAAAATAAAGTATTTTTACTTTCATTGGTAAAGGTGATCTTCATATACTTCATCATGTATATCTGAACAAAGCCGACATGACTGATCTGTTCACCGACTCCAGTATTGATGTATTTGCCAGATGTGGTGGTATTACAGAAAGCCTTCAGAATACACTGGCAACAATAACAATGTAAATCCTTCACCTAAGCATGATGGGGACGCCTCACAAGACTACAAGAGACACCAACTGCCTCAGGGGCATGTGGTTGTTTTCAGCACAGCAAAAGAAAGTCAGGAAGATAACATTCCTGGTATGACAAAAGATGCATTTCAGTTAGTTGGAAGACACTGCTGCTTAACTCTTAGCCTGCTACAAAAACCACAAGTCCAGGGGACCCATATGGCTCTAAATCTAAGGCCATGTAACCCAGGGGTTTATAACCCAGGCTCTCCTTCAATCAGAAGCTATTCATGCTTTAGCAGTGATTAGAGATAAGTAAATAATGCTGAGTCAGGGAATTATATACTTACCAGAGATATATACATCTCAATCTTTAATTAGGGATAATTAACTATGTCCTTCCATTTCATTATACAGGGGGTCCCTAGATTCAAATGCTATGGGATCAAACCAGGACACCAGGAACCCCTTTAATTTCCAACACTGTATATAAAGATATAATTATATTACTGGTATTAATATATATTATGTGTTTTGTCAAGCATACAGTAGGTGTCATACAGTCCTGATAAAACAAAATTCAGTAGGTATACACACATTTTCAAGCCTAGTTTTAAGCCTTAATCAGTATATTTAATATTTTGTGAAATTGTTTTTACTGTGGATAGTATTCTTCTACCATTATAAATGCTGTAGGAAGCTTGTAGCAAGCACAGCATGGCGAGGACACCATGCACGACATAGTGGCATGACAGCTGTCCTACTAAGGACCAATGTGCATGCTAACGTTATCATTATGTACTGCTAACCTATCTCATGAATGCCAAATCAAAAGACTAAGCAGGTTCTCCACAGGCCTACAATGAATAGTATCAGGTTTCCTGATATACAAATATATACCATGTATTCTCAAGTATATGTATACCGTGTCCCCAGCTACCAGCATGACATTTACGTACAGACAGGTTTTTCAGTACGTTTCTGTCGGTACAGCTTAACTGGTATGCATCAAGGCTTTTCTGTCAGCTTTTCAAAAACAGTAAATACCATGGAGCAGCACTAGACCTGTAGTCCTTGCGAAACTGCCCAATAGTTAAGGTATCATAAGGGCTAGTAGACTATAAATGTTACTTTCTACCGCTGTGGAGTCTGAAAATTTGCAATGTCATAACACTATGCTGTTCTTATTGTTTCTAAAACAATGTTGTTGACTACACAACTATAAATAATGGCATTTGTAACACATCTGAGATGACAAGAAGGGGCTTTCCATACAAACAAATACTGATTACCATAACGACTAGTACATCACGGTTTGTGTGTTAGTTGTTTACGCTGTACTCAGCAATATTCCAGCTACATGATGGCGGCCAGAGAATCCATTCATGGACATTGTGAGCAACAATCCATGCCATCAGGGTAGGAAGACATGCAATCAACCAATTCACTGTCTGACCATCCAATCCATTTGTCGCCTGTCGTATGCATGTTGTTACGACCAGCGAAGGCTGCTGAGAGCCTATTCCAACCCAGAATGCCCACTGGGGGTCTGGTACAGCAAACATTAATGGTACAATATCATGACTACACTTACTATCATATTAACAAGGGCTGACTTTACTGAAAGAAGAATATATAGTGCACTATTTCCGCACTATAAAATGTAAACTATATCAAATGCACATACAAATAATTAACAAAAACAGAAATATCATCAAACATTTTCAACCATCACTCTACCTTACCACCCACACTACACAGCTCCTCCATCAAATAAATTCCTTGGCATCCAGTCTATCCACATCTGTCAAGTCCCACAATACACACATCTCCACTAGTGAAAGCGATGTGACCCACTGATCTATACTGCTGGTCTGTCTGCCTCTCTCAGACAACCACTACAGCAAGTGCAACCACAACACCACCGACACACTCAGCCATGAACTTTGACAGAATCCACGAGGCACCTTCTGCCCCTCCTGAAAGACATCTATTGTTCTGTGTTGTCAGTCAAGCAGAACCTTGAGCTGAATGAATCACCAGGCTGGTCATGTGACTCACCTATCTCATCTTACTGATGTCCCATTATCCTGCCGGCCAATTACTGCTGCAGAGACAGGATGGTTTCCCCACTGACAGACCACAGTCAGTCAAATGTAAGGAGAACCACCGAGTGGATTAAGTCATAGTGCACCAATAATGACCATAATCTGATAGGTACGACGTGATTATTGTGTAATGTGGCCTTCACCACCAGCGTTTGCTCCAGTCTGAACGAGTC